AACAGAAAACATTAAAATTTTCCGCGCTCTGTTATCAAATCAGGACCGAGTAAACAAAGAATGGAGCAATCACAATCTTTGGCGCAAACTTCGAGAGGAATTCCAAGATACTAAAGAAAGAGGTGGCGAAATATCTGTGATGGAGTGTGCAGTTTCTGATAGAGGCTGAGAAATCGTTTTCTGGTTAGTGTTTTTGTTTTCCTGATACCACATGCTTTGTTGTATGAACAAAGAAAACATCTGTATCCTTGTTTATTTGTCGATAGCTCTTTATTTCACTGCACGAAATTTAACTTTGGAACACTGCTAATTAATTCTGAGACTCAGATCTTGATGTTGACAATGATTCTTTGAAATGTCTTTTTGAGCATCGTTTTCACTTTTGTCATTAGCTTTATGACATTTTTGTACTTATATTAAGCACTTCTTAATATCTGTAATATTTAAAGCACGTGTATGAACTTCCAGCTGCAAACCAATCAAATAATATGAAAAAAAATAATAAATATTAAATATTGTTTCCAGAATCCTGATATGCATTTTCATTATAATTTTCTCTAAAGAGAAACACGTCATATATGATCATTTCAAATAATAAAAAATAAGATTCTGTCCATAATTTATGTTTAAAAATGTGTTATTCACAAAAAAATTGTAATGGCAGGGACCTAGGAGATTTTCATTAATAAAGTAAAATTAAATTAATAAAACTGTAAAAATTGTAATTGGCCTCGGTAGCTTAGTGATGTGAGCACCTGACAAGTGATACAGGTGTTCTAGGATTGAATCCTGGCTCAGTCATAATAAGATATATCTTTATTCTTTTCTCCTAGCTTTCCTCACTACAGTACACATGTATCCATGAATGGAATGAAAATGGAAATATTAAGTACAAAAAGTTTCCTTAAAAAAAAAACCTAATGTTATGAAACCATATCCTCTCTCTCTTTCTCTTTTTGATTAAAAAAAGTAGGGTCCTTTTATAATAAATTTTGGTTTCATCCATATAGGTTTTGCTCTGCTTGTCATGCTTATGGAGGATAACTCTGATAAACATGTGGTTCCAAATTTTAAAAGAAACTGCATGGTAATCTGCATTGGGATACTCAAATGAACGTCTTGTACATATACAAAATGTACCATACAATTAGTACATATAGTATGTATAAAAATGTAAAAGTACATGTAGTACTTATTTCCTAATACATTTAATTAGTACCTCCAAGTGTAAGGAAGGGGAGTGACCTGGTTATAAAACCAAATTAAAGTACTGACTGGAGTAAAAATAACCCATTGTCTTTGGCTAAAAATCCAGATAAACTACCTTGGTCCAAATTAGCTAAAACCCATGGCATCTCGATCTGAAATGGCTACTGGTCAGGACAGGAATAAAAGAAAGGATATATTTTCAGCCTTCTGCGTCACTTCTCACGTAATCAAAGAACGATAAATAACGGGAAACAAATGAACCATGATTAACTCATAAAAGGATTATCTATAATTAATTGCAATCTGCCAACAACTTGTTGCTTCTGTTTCTTTGGTGGGGCTCACAAGTACAGTATTGATCCAGGCCTTGCATACTTAAGTGTATTCTCTGTATGTAAGTAAAATATATACATTTGTTTACAAAAAAACAGATAAGAATTGTTTATTAGTTTCTTTTGTAGGGTCAGTATTTGAATATACATATATGTATTAAGATCAAAATAAATTATCAGATTAAGTTTTACATTTATGATTATTAATAAAAGTTTAATATCATAAAAATGTTCTGCTCTGTAAAGAATTAAGATGTCTCTGAATTAGAAAACCTTTAGGATACATACAGTTTCAGAATTTCAGGGTATATCTTGTTAATTTAGAGATTAGAATCTTAATGATACATTGGTCTGTTAATCATGTTAATAATGATGTCACTGACTTGGACAACCGTTAGGATGCTGACAGTTTGTGTTTGTCCAGTGACCGTCATTTATTCGGGGACAGATCATGAGATGGGGTTTGTTATTGTACTGGCGACAAAAAGTAAATTTCCTCTTGGCTTCTTCTCCTCGTGACAGTTAGGGGTAAGGGGTTGATGCACATTTATGTGCTTCTGCCTTAAATGCCTGCAACTGATGTTGATCCAAAGGGGAACTTGATGAATATGCTACGGGGTCGAACAATATGTTTCCCAGGGAAAGGAGGGATACAAGATTTGGGGAATGGATTGGGGGAATTGACTAAATCTTTACTATACATTTGGAATGTAGCTGGGCGGCTAAAGGTTCCTTAGATGAATGCCAAACATATGTACAATTTCAAAAATAGCAAGAGACCAGAGTCAACTCTTAAAGTGAATATGAGGCTTTGTTAAGTGAATATGAGGCTTTGTTAAGTGAATATGAGGCTTTGTCAGGACGGTGTTTGTAAAAGATATCAGGGTTGTCCCTAAGACTTGGGGGCCAGGGAATTCCCCCTTTTAATAAGTTATAACCCAATCCCTCAGTTACTCTAACCCCCCTCAATTTACCCGATATTCCCTTCTACATTTTGAGTGCCCCTGCTATTTTAATTCTTAGTAACAATGTTGAAGATATTGGATTATTTTCAATGATGAATATACATGTACAGTATTTACAGTAAAAAGGTTTTCCGAAAATATGAGAAGCATTAAGATTTTACAGTTGTTCAGTGAAAGGTCAAGGTTAAAGGCTTGTTATGACAATAATTTGGTCAGAATTGGGTGATGTTGTGCAGTTTGTCTGAAAGATCTCTCAACAAGTTTGTTAAAATAGTACATGTATAACATTTTATTTAACATTAACTGATACAGTATGTTGGCCTAATTTTTTGTTGTATTGTATAATTATAGATCAGATGATTCGAAATAGACTTTGTATTACACTTGGGAAAAATAATTTCTCTATTTGAATGAGGATCGGTGTTTTTTGGGGATGGGTGATTGTAGTGAAAAAAAGAGAAGTGGGGGAGTGGGGTGTTTAACACTTGCGCATTCTATGTAATGTATCCTCCAAATGCTTGATGTACAAAATTCTTTTCTTTTCATAAATAATGAAAACTTCTTAAAGAATCACTTTAAATATTATAGCTCTGTGCAAGATATAGGTATTTTTATATAGTGAGAAATCTGAGGAATTTTTGTCCTACAAATTCTAAATGTGCAGTTTAAATTAAATGCACATGGACCCCTATCGTGGTCTCAAATTCTTTGTGCAGCCATTCTTCCTTTTTTCAGTGTAAGATCACAAAGACTTTGGACTGAAAAGCTATAATATGAGCTTTTGATGTAATCAAGAATTATGCTAATAAATTTTTCACATTTTCAATGAATAGAGCTAAAAGCAGACATTTGTACTTTTAGCTTACAGATTTTTTCCCCCCAGTCTGTACGTGTCGTAACAATAATTACATATTTACAAATACAATATGGTTGTCACAATAAAGATACATAACGTAACACATTATTGTGTCTGCCGCAGACAACATTGATTCCAGACACCAGATTTATTAGTACAGATGTAAATGGAATCTGTAATGTAATAACAAAGACAGTTAGAATACATGGGCCAACAAAAAAATCTCCTTCAAAGAAATTGATTTTCAGATTGCCTTTGATTATTACGTTCTTTCAAATGCAGCTTTTGGTAAAAACAATATCATTTGAAAAATTGTTACGAGTTTCCACAACAAATTTATTGAGTGGCGTACAATAGGACGGTAAGCCACATGTTTGCATGAGCTCATAATCAGATTATGACAATGGTCCCAGATTGGTGGATATCTATTTGTGTATCGGGTATTGTCCTCGGTAAAAATCCTTTTGTTGTGTAAATGAAAACAAGAACTCCTATTTTGTCAATAATCATATCTGTTACTAGGGGGGTCAAACACTGTGGGCATTTAAAAATAAAACTTCTGAGAAAAATCTTTTAGGAGAAATCTGACCATTCAACATGTTAAATTACTATACTTATTCTAAGTATACATGTATGTATATAAAGACTGTTTTATAACTTGAAACGGTCCAATAGATATAAATCATGCGATCACAATTGACATGGATTTTATGAATTTAATTTGGAAAAAAGGATAGATAATGTACGTATACTATACATGAAATACTATAGTTTATGGTAAATTTGTAAAATACAATGTGGTTGAATTCTTCATACAATAAAATTTAGATTTGTTTGATATCAGTATAACCTAATAAAAATGTATGAAATTTTAAGAATTCTTATGAGCAGTTTGAATAAGGGTGTAAAATTTTAATTTGACAAACTTTTTTTACTCCACTTCATTCTAATTTACCTAATGAAGAAATTATAATTGTTCTTAAAGCACAAATTGTTCCTTTAATATTCAGGCAGCCAGCTAATTAGCTTATAAGATTTCTATTTTTTCCCCTCTAAATTTAGATTTAAAAAAAGATAGAGGAAGGCATGCAGAAATTAGCCTGTTTACCAGGTGCATTAGGAATGCCAGAAACAATAAAATTTTGTTATTGTTTTGTGATTATTCTGTGTTAGCATCGAGGTGAAAATAAACACCCCATCTATTAGACAGAATTGCCGCTAATTATACCCACTAACGAAGACAAATGGTTTCCAGAATTCATTGTTCTATAAAACCTGAAGATACCAAAATAATGTGCTTGCTGGCTGCTGCCTGGGTGTAAAGAAATTGTGTATTGATATGTGTATTAGGTCTTGTACTAGATATAAACATGATAAAGGGAAGAGAAAAAGATTGAGAGAGAGAGAAAAAGAAAGAAAGAGACAGGTGGTTGAGAGAAAGAGAAATGAGTAAGAGTGTTTGTGAGGGAAAGACAAAGAGATAATTCTAGTTGATTGTGAAAGACAAAGAACAAAAGAAAAAAAGAATAATGATGAGAGATAGATGGAGATAGAGAGATAAGTGATAGTCAGAAGGAGAGAGAGATAATTGTGCATATTTGCAAGAGAGAGAGAGAGTCAGAGACCTTTGATTGTGAGAGAGAGACCTTTGATTATTGGGAATTATATTATGAATGAATTATCTGTACACACAGCTGGCCTTTGTTATAAGAGGATTTAAAATCATTTAGTCTCCGCGAGTTTAGTTTGTCTAACCAATGCTAACCGTAGAACTTACACCCTTGACTGCTTCTGGTGTTCAAAGAACCCCATTCTGACTTCCACTCCAAGCCAATACACAATTCTTTTTTTTTTTTCTGTACATGGAATGGGTTATTTTTTCTCTCTCTCTCAGTCTCTCTGATGTGGTTTAATGAAAGAATAGAGCCACTACAGTGTCTATTTGACTTTGCCCTTTGTGAACAAGTTTTGGGAAGTATTTCGGATATATAATAGAGGGAAGTGGAATTGTGTCAATTGAATGACATTATTGGAACACTGCGTAGAATTTTTTTTCCATGGTAGAATTTTTGACAGGAAGGGAATTTTGTGTGGATTTCTGTATCAGATAATTAAGGTAACAAAATGTAAATTCAAGTATTAAAATTAAACAATGTAAAAATATATAACTTTAACTAAAATTAAAATTAGGCGTATACTTTTAAAGAATATGAGAAAAGAATCAGTATATGATATGTACTATGTGATTTAAAAAGATATATATTTGTTCTAGAATTTTCACATATACATGATGTTGAAAGGTTTCAAGTTAAACTCTCGTTGTACATGGATAATGATTGTGAAATCATTACGAGATCAGAGGGCATATAACTATAAAGCTTTAATGCCCCTGACAGCTGCTGAATGCTGAATGTACAATATAATATAATGATAATGGGAGATTTTTTGGAACATAATAATCTTGATGCTCTTGGTGTAGAACTGATGTAAATCATTTCTGAATTTTTAGAAACAGGTCATAATAAATTCATCAGATACTATTGAGTGTGCATTGTAACGGTTTAATAATTAAAAAATTTAAAAAAGAAATGGCTAGTATGTTAAGTGTTAGTTTATTGAAACTCTTCAATATGATCAAGCACCAGATATATCAAAAATATTCTACCTCTTGCATTATAAACTTAGGAGTCCATAATTTGATTATTTCTAAACTGGCCTCAATTTTCTCATTAAACAAAATCATAACTGGAATTTTTTGAAATTTTTGGGCTGAAAATCAAAGCCATTCACCCTATTTTTGGCATCAGTCAATCATCTGTAAAATACATTGTAGTATGTTTATTTAAATGTATATAAAAAAAGTTTAAGGTTATTTCAATACAGAATTTTTGCTCATTATAACAACTAACAAGTTTAAATTTTCTAATTTCAAGTGCAGTACCCAATTAGGGCACATTATTAAATTCTAATAAAATTTGTGGTTATTTAGTAAAGATTTCTTTGCCCATGACCAGGTTTTTGTACGTTAATTTCAAAGTGCAGTACCCCTGGCCAGTGGGGTACTTTTAGCATTTATTGCAAGCCTTGTCTCTATGATCTAATTAAGGTTCTGGAGGCTTCCAGTTTTGTAACATGTCAGTTGCCAAAATAGAACTAAAAAAGAAATATTTGATAAAAATACCGCAAGATCAGATAGGTCTTAGTATTTCTTTAACTTCCTTGCAGTATGATATTTCAACCCTACCACAAAAACGTGCACGCAAAGTTGCCCCCTTCAGGAGTGTCGCAATTAACATGATTAAACCGAAATTCATATGTCGCTGTGACGTCAATTTTGCATGCACGCAATTCAGGGCTTTTAAAGAGTACGGGTGAAGAAGGCCAAATTCTGATCCAAATATATTCTTTATAACCTATTTAAAATCATTGTCTGTGTAGTGTTAAGTTTTTTCCGTGGGTTATATAATCAGTCTGACAAAGTTTCTTAAGTAACATGAACAAAGACAAAAAACGTTACAAAGTTAAATTACCTACAAACAAAAGGTCTTAGATAGACACATCAATCAAGTGTTTTTGAGCCATTAATGATGAACATTTTTATGACAATTGAAAGATTTATATACTTAAACTATAATGTTCGTGTCTTTTTAACGCGTGTTAACATAGGTCAGATGTTCTGATCTGTTTCGTTTAACAGCTTTATCTGGTGGCGGTTGCCTTTTGTTGTTCAAAACTGACGGTCTGCCAAAGATGTCAGTTATACTGTACTCATCCCTGTAAATTCCCAGGTCCTACACGTGTCTAAACTTTTTTTTACTTGATGATGCATGGTCAGACAATGTTATTTTGAATCCACTTGAAATTACACAGAAAAAAAAAACCTTAATCAAGATATTCAAGATTGAACAATTGAAGAAAATTTAGAGGCTTTTCCAATTGGTGCCTCCACATACGCTGGGTTTTCTAGATATTGAATGCTTGAAATATCAAGGTTCAACTGTACTCAAAAGGTATTATGACTGCATTTCCTATTTTTTGCATATTACATATTTTGCATAAGTTTTCACTTCTGATGTATTTTTAAACTTTCAAGACAATTACCAATGGTAGAGACATAAAATCATTGAAGTTTCTTTTTACTTTAATTTTCAAGTAAAATCTCCAGTAAATGTTCTAATATTCTGTAATTTTCAATGCATTGTTACTCAAATGCAAAAACAGAATAAGTGGCCTTATAGAAAATATAAATGTCACCCCCAGTGGGGAGTCTATGCCTATTGTACTCTGGCTGCTTTGAGACCCCTGGGTCCGAGGAAGACCCAATTTACGTCGAATTAAGTTTCCTAAAATGGAATATACCTTGCGGTTTGTTTGAAATCCATACCAATTGGTCCCAGGGAGAGCTCTTTGTAATGAATTTAGTTTCCTAAAACAGAATCTGGAAGTTCAGGAAAAAATATCAATCATTTTATTGATCATGGCAGCATTGGCTTTCCTGCTCCAGATAGTCCGTAACTAACATGCAACACTGGATGTGATAATATCTGGATATTTCTTAATAGTCAAGAGTCAGTTAATCATACAGAGGAATTTAAAGCATTATTTAATCTGCTTGAGAAAAAAATATAATTTGGTTATTGATTGATATTAATGTTAAGGGATTTAAAGACAACTCAAAAAGATGCGGTAACTTGACCCTTTTAATTAAAGTGTTTGAAGTTTCAAAAAGAAGCAGTAGATCTAGAGATTTCGGATAATTAGAAACATGTATCCTTGAGAAATGAAGCATATACAAAAAATGGTTATAGCATAAAGCCTGGCACATGTGAAAATTGTCTCTCCTTGATCTACATAGAACAGTTGCAAATCATCTTTGTCGAGGACATTATACATGTGTAAGCTTTATTGCTCGTAACATTTGTAGCTGATTCTGTCAATTTCGTGTAACATTAATTTCAGTACGTATTGTTACTGGCAATGATTTGTGCAGAGAAACGCTTAGAGGCATTATATTATTTCTGGCTACAATATGTAAATTGTATGAAACTATGATGCAAAGCGACAATAGGGGCTGGTGCCTTCATTTTCAAATTATCCCCCTTGCTAGAACTCTTCTGTTTTAAGATACAAAAAAAAAAAATTAATGTAATGATGTTAATAAATGTTGCTAAAGTTAGGTTAGTATTTTATATATCTGCAATCAAATGTTGTTTGTAACCTAATGTTCAGTGAAAAATGTTCAACTAATAAAGATTTTGACAGATCTCTACTTTAAAGTTCATTGCCCATTTGGACAACAGGAAACATATAAAATGCTGATCCTTTGAATGTCTTAAAGCCATTTTAAAATTAAAGTATTGACCCATTGAAATGAATTGAAGAGAATTAAATCCAAAACATTAAGAGGTCTAAGATCAGTAATAAAACGTAAGTGCATGTAATATCACTTTATCATTTGGCACCCAGGAACCTTGTGGAATAATATTTTCAAATATTTTCAAAATCATGTTTTTTAAGCCCCAAGATTTATTGCTCAAATCTGTCGAACAGTGTGGTGCCGATATGCCATAAGACTCTTATTTTTGAACTCGGTGGGGCAAAGGGGATAAAAAAAATGGGATGTTACACTCTGCGTAAAACAGGAAGTGTTAATAACTGCTTCATATTAACATTTAACACAGAGAAAAAGAACTCATTGCTGGTAGCTATCTGTTGTGTGTTGATAAAGACAATTGTTTTCCTGTACCTCATGTTCGTTTATACCTTGCTGCAAGCAGTGGTTCTGATATCTCCTATATTGTTTACTTTGTATTGACAATGAAAGGAACCAGGCTGTTTTTTCAGTGCATGGGAACTAAAAATATGAGAAAAAGGGGGTCTCGTTAACTCGGAATGCATTATATCCATTCAAAATTCTGGCTGCCATTTAGAGGAAATTAGAGCATTTGAAGTTTATTATTGTGATCTGAAATTGCTTTTATTGTATGTTGTGCATGAAAGTTAAATACACTGGGGAAATACAGGGAAAAGGCTGCTACCAATTACGAGCTCCGGAACATGAATGAAATTTCTTGACTGTATATTTGTATAGACATTGTATAAAGAAAAATTTGCAAGCAAAAGGTTAACCTCCTCAGAATTCTTTTCAAATTTTTTTTCTGTTGCCATTAATAAGTTAATATAAATTTTGGTTTTAATGGACATTTTGGTTTTTTTCAGTGTGACCTGTAGCCATGGAACATCTTGACAAGTTTCAGATAATCTTTAACAACCCCTCAGCCATCTACAACGCGGGGGACACTGTGTATGGATATGGCTGGGCAGTCTTCAAGGAACCTATACATGTACAGAGTAAGTGACAGAGAGAGGGGCAAGACTGAAATAGTCCAGTTTTGATTCAAATAATATTATATTTTGTTCTTGAAAGCAACGGTCCAGTAGTTATGCAAAGTAGTATGAATATGTGGTACACTAGTAAAAAATACAGTAAAATCTGTCTTATCTCAAACCTGTGTAATCTGTTTCTCTGTGAATTCCAGTCCTTTATTTTCATTCTTTTAATAACCTATTTTCCCTGTTCTTTACACTGTAATCTGATACCCTATTTATACCTACATAAACTCTGTTCCTAGTACATGTTTGATTCAACAGGATTCACTGTGTATTGTCAAGATATTTTTTCTGAAAATATCCTTGTTGTTTTTCAGCTGTGTGTATGGAGGCCATTGGAGAGGCTAAAGTGGAGTGGATGACCTCCAGTGATATACAGGCATCAGATGAAGAAGTGTTCAACTACACAACAGTCCTACCCATAAAAGGTAAGGTCATAGGTCAAGTACACAACAGTTCTACCCATAAAAGGTATGGTGTCAAAGGTCAACTACATAACATTCCTACCCATAAAAGGTAAGGTCAACTACACAACAGTCCTACCCATAAAAGGTAAGGTCAAAGGTCAACTATACAACAGTCCTACCCATAAAGGGTAAGGTCAGCTACGCAACTACCAATAAAAGATGAGGTCATAGAGGTCAAGTACAACAGTCCTACTTATAAAAGATAAGGCCATAGGCCAACTACACAACAGTCCTACCCATAAAAAAAGGTGTCAAAGGTCAACTACCCATAAAAGGTAAGATATGAAAGGTCAGTGTAGCAAGCTCTAAAAGTGCTGATCAAAAGTTAGAAATCACACCACCATACAAAACAACAGTGAAAGTATCCAAATAAAAAAACTGGAATCATTTATTTTACTGCATGTTACTTTTATTTCAGGAGAAGATAAGAATAGTCAGGGTGCTACATTACACGAGGGCTCACATTACTTCCCTTTCGAGTTTACACTACCTAGTGATCTTCCGTCGTCTTTCAAGGGTAAACATGGCCGCCTGCGATACTTTGTTAGAATGACCATCTGTACATCAGGAGGGCCTCACCCGTCACGCACCAGTAAATTCGGAGTTCAAGGGGCACTTGACCTCAATGCAGAACCAAATGCTGCGGTAAGTAGTTTGATTTTTCCCCCCTCACTGAATAGCTTGATATACGCAGGTCAAGGTATCCATAGGGAGGCATTGTAACTTTCCATCTTGGCAGGTGATTGCTATGTGGGTTGCAGTCATACTTTTGTATTTGTATGTTTGTCAACATGTTCATATGTGAATAAGTTTCAAACTGTTCTCCTATGGTAATGTACAGTCTTTAAAGTTGGGTACTGTTTTCTGTCTTTAGAAGATTTAACATCGCTGGTTGAACAAAGTGTGGCATTATGTTTATTAAGTGTAACTATTCAGATTTAGTTTACATGCACTTTAAGAGGTTATACTTATTATGTGCATGCTACACAATGACTTGGCGGACTGTAGATACACAGTAAGCACACATTAGAGTCTTAAAGGTTTATAAAACTAATGCTCTAAGAACAGTGCCAAAGAGTTCAAACATGATTTAAATTTTAAAGATCAAGTGCATGAAAACAAACTTCTTGGAACATAAAGTAATATTGTATACAGGGAAATTTTCGCCCCTGTTTAATTTTCCCCCTAGCTTGCACCCTAGACACAAGAAGGCAAATTTAAGATGGGGCGATTTCAAAATAAAAGGTACAATTTCCTAAAAAAAACTTTGAAAGGGCGAAATTAGAACAGCTAGGGCAAAATTGTTTGCAAGTGTGAAAGGGCAAAAATAACACGGGGGTGAAAATAACCCTTTATACAGTATTGCTCCTGTTTATTACAGCTTCCGGTAGAGAATGACACATTTGAGCCCCTGGGGTCCTTGTGTTGTATCTCTGGTACGGTGACCGCCAAACTACACCTGGAGAAGAAGGGCTACACAGTCAAGGAATCGGTGCCAGTGTACGCAGAAATCAAAAACCTTAGCAGCCGGAGAATCAACTCTACCTCTGTGTCCTTAATACAGGTAACAAAAAAACAGATATTAAACAGTAAGAAATGGTTTAGTATAGGCTTAAGGAATTTCCACCCTCACAATTTTATAGGTTCAAAGTACAAAAACTGCATTTATTTTCATTCAATATATTTTAAACTTTCCATTTATTGCAAAAAATGTATAGGTCACCATATTATTTAAGATGTGAAACATAAATAAACAGAAGTGTATGTCAACATAAAAAATTGTACATTTTTTTGTAAACAGTATTGAGAAAAATATGTAAAAACTGGTTAAAATGCATAATTCTGATGCTGAGTGTTCCTAAATACTTCCTACCTAAAAGATACTTTTGAATTGTGAATATCAGGTAAACTATTTTACAGAAAAGCCAATGCCTGAATGAAGAGACCTTAGAAGGAGTTATTGCCCTTGTAAACATTTTTTAAAGATTGAATAATTGATTAAATATAGAAAATATGCATTTTTTGAATTCTTTATCTAAACAATATTAATATATCATTACACCTATTGTAAAGCATTCTTCCAAGAGATATTTTTCTATAAGGTATGAATTTAAAATAATTACAGTTTTTGCAAAAACCTATTACATCATAGGAGGGTGGAATTACCTTAAACACTGTGTTAATGTGGCTAATTTTCTGAATTCTGTCTTCTTTTGGTTAAAATTTTGTTCTTATTTAAAGGGAAACTTTATTTACATGACTAAGTTTGCTTAGTATACTTTAGTAATACATATATGTTTGTCTATGGCAAAATATTTTTATGTACTATTAAAGACTTTGATTGTATATTACCTTACCTTAAAATTAATACCCCCCATCCCCCCCCCCCCCCCCCCAAGAAAAAAAGAAAAATTAATAATTACACATCTTTTAAAAAACAGTCGTTTATTTATTTACATACATGTATTAAATGTGAAGTAAATAAGTGTTTATTTTGTAGGACAACACAGTTTATTGTTACTGTTCACTTGACTTAGATGTTGAGTAATAAGATATACTGTGTACATTATAAGAATGGTAGAACTTTAATGTCATGTAAAGAGAAAAGAGAGAAGCCACTTGGCTTCTATGTGTAAGCTCATAGAGAACCCTCAATTCTGTAACAGTTACAGTAATATAAAATACATAAACACACAGTAATGAAAGAAGTAGTAGACACAAAGGCTTTGTGTAAAAGTAGGGGAATTTTTTTATGTGCTCAACTGGTATATATTTGTTTGGAAAGAGGTGCTTGACTTTTGATGTTTGTGAAATATTTGGCAGAGCTTCATAAAGAGAGATTTATTTGTATAAACGCCTTGTATATACACAAAAACTAATTAATCTAGATTGAACTTTTCTGTTTGTTGAAAACTTTTGTTAAACAGTTTGTAACACTTTAATATTGGCAAAGACTTGTATACAGTACTTAATATCAAAATAATTTCAAAACATGGTAGTAAATTCACATGTACAGTTAAAATAAACATTGTGTATTTAAATATAATCCATTCATAATTGTTACACCATTTTGTGGGGAGGAAGCATATATTTATATTAAAACTGATTTTAACTAGGGTACTGCAAAAGGAGCATTCCCCATAAAGCTTGCAATATTCATTATATGCACTTTGTAAGCCTTTGAGCTCAGCAAATATGAAATCAATCCTGATATTTCTTAGATACAAATTCACTAACCCTACATTCACAAGTGTGTTATTATGTCCTCTCCAAATACCTTAATAGAGGATAATAATGAGAAATAATTTTGCAGATTAGATCTTTGCCCTTTTCTATAGGAAATTTAATGCACTCACTTCAGATTTTTTTGGTTTTGTAGAATGTGACGTACTACTCCTACAGAGGACGATTTTCAGAAACCACAAAGCTGGTGACAATCCATAAGGGGGGTGTGGGGCCCCGGGGTAAACAGACGTGGCAGAAGGAGTTACTGAGTATCCCCACCACCCCGCCCTCACACCTCCACGGCTGTAAAATCATAGACATCCAGTACTGTATTGAGGTAGGTCTTTTTTTATTTTTCTGGTAAAATTCAAAAATTTTATGGTTAAAGGGAGATAACTCTCCAAGAATTTTTTTTCTGAGACTTGTATTTCGTTTGCAATCTTGAACTTTATTTTGCAAGACTACTTTTAATTATTGCATAATTTCATACTTGCATATTTATTACTATATATATATATATATATAGTTCAATATTTTTTTATAATTTATAACAAGAACTATTTATTTTTTCTCCCCTCCCCCCCAAAAAATAAAATTTATTTGATCTATAGAGTAATGATCTCTTTGTTTATATTATTGTGTGAAATATGTACTGTGAGAATACAAGATAACAGTATACTTCAGTTGAAATACAAAACATAGATAATCATAATTTTATTGTCTTTATTATAATAATTAAACTTTTGTTTACAGTTGGCCATCAAACCCTCGGGCTTTGGTAAAAAAGTCAAAATCCCAGTAGACATCATTATCGGATCTGTTCCCCTCCTAGAGGCCAAAAAAGAGAAGACGTCGTACCACCCACTACCGTCCATCGTCAAAGACGACGTGATTCCATTCCCGTTCTTCGAGCTCGCTACAAACCCTAGTCAATACATGCTTCCTACCGCTCCACCGTGGGAAGAGGATGACGATATCCCGTGAAAACTGGTAATTATCAGACTGTTAATTAGCAATCAACGAATGACCAAAGTTTGGATATCATTAATTCTTGTGATATGTGAAACATCTTGTTTCTCTCCCTCAAAAGAAACATTGAAGCATAAATGAAATGCTAATAAACTTGGTGTTGAAATGCAAACCCCCACAAGCATGTAAAATGTTGTCCTTAGAGAGTTTAATAGATGAGGAAGAGGGTACATGTTGTAACTATTTTAGTTGTAATATGTTTCTTTGATTAATTGTTTTATCTTCTTTAGTAAATGCTGATCTTGAGTAATTGTAGAGATTGAAAAAAAGTTTGTTCATTTTCTTTCTTGTTACATTTACATCTTTTTTTTTTTCAGGAATCCTTGTAACACTTCAGCCAAAACAAGAGGAGCATTATGCATTATAATTTCAACAGTTGGTATAGTAACTCTAGGGAACTTGGAGAATATGGGGACCATTGAAGACAATTCTCTTGCCATATTGACATAGGACGTCTCAAAAAGATCTGAACCATTGACAGTGTATGTGATTGTAGATCTGATATCAACCACTGCTTAGCAGTTTATTTTTGCAGATGTATGATTTTGCCTATTTTTTTAAAGGGGAGAGAAGATGTATAGTATAATGACATTTTTTAAAATTTGTCCAATGTATACAAAATTGACCTTTGTTTCTAAAAAATGATCACTGTTTCTTTAATATTTACTCATAGCCCATTAATACCGATTTTCTTTAACAATATTGAATAACTTGACTTGATTAAGTTTGTCTCATTTTCTTGGTGAACCCTTCAACTGTACATCACTATGTATGCAATCCTTATTGTACGATTATTTATTGAGAGCAATTACTTCTGTTCCTGGTGGTTCGTTCTGTCTCATTCCGAGAAATCCAATAGGAGCTGTATCCTAATATTATTAAGTTTATTCTACCTTGTTTAATTTATCCAGTTTTACATGGAAAATGTCTCATTTGTATCTTAATGGTTTTAGGTTTTAAAAGAAAATGAAAGATGTTTTTCTATGAGGCCAGTCAACATAAGGGTGTACTTTACTTAGATCAACGAAATCCTGACTGTTTAGTCTATATCACATGTCACATGTGACACACATTGCACTTCTTAATGTAGATTAATTTACAATGTCATTGTGAGGTGACAAATTCACCATGGTCTCAGATGGCTACCTTCTAATTAATCTAATTATTTTTTCTTGGATTTCAGTAAGAGTACATTCAGAGTGACCCATGGGAAACCCCCTCCCTCATTTTCCACTTTTGTAGTATTGACCCTTAAATAATCCTTGGAAAATAGTTTTGTATTTGTTGCCCTGTAGTCATGTGTGGGTTTAGTTTTCGGTTGTAGAGTATTTTTGTAATCACGTTGTACTTATTACACCATTATGCAATTGGCACCAAAGAGTATTATAGCTTTAACGTAATTGAATTTTTGTATTACGAATTAATGTGTTGCTTAGGATCAACGAAATGTTCATTTGGAATGAAACTTAATTTTTTTGTGACTTAATGGAAGTAGCTGCTTTATTTGGTTTTCTTTTTGAAGATCTCGGCTTTTAAATTCTTTACTGTATATTTTATACAAAGGAGAAGCAGAATTGTATCTTTAGTAGAAACATGGCAAACTTGCTTTTGCTTCAAATGTTACAGAAAGAATCAGTCTAGTAAATATATAAACCTATTACAGTAAAAGCCCTATTTGCAAAAAATATGCAAAATTGAAAATGATAATTAACTAAATGATTTAAAAAGAATACATACAGTGTACTAATTGATGTGTATAGATCTTTTTAAAAAATGTTTTGAAATGGGGTTCTTAGATATGTAGTGGAATTTTCCTTCCTTGGATAGATTATTTTGCTTCTTATTTTTAACTGAACAAAAATGCCAATATTTTGAGAGAGAATGTTTTTTCTTTTATATTATGATTTTTGAAATATTTTTGAAAGCTATTTTTTACTGATAATATTGTGATTTAACAAGTGCTAAGGGCAGATAACTGTAGATCGCTTTGCAAGTAGTGCTTAATTTTAGTCAAGTAGAGTGTAGATTTTAAACCATTCATGTGTTCATTTTAATATTGACAAGACTCAGTTAAAAAATCTTGATTCATAAAACCATTTCTTATGCAAGCAATACATGTATATTTTCTTTATACAAAGGTTACCTTGATAAATATGTCATGTTTTATAATGAGTATACATGTGTATTATTAAGTTATAAACTGGAAAGAAATCATCTTTAGAAACACCTCCGTCTCATTTTGTTGTATTTTATAAACTTGTGTCAGACTTTTTAAAAACAAAATCAGATCGGAAAACAAATTTTCTGGGAGCACAACTCATTGAAATGTTGAGTGAACTCCCATTCCTATTTTATTTGGATACTGATATTAATCGTACAATAAAGTATTCTTTTACTTACCCTTTTTAACACTGTTAAATCACTGATGTACAGTGTACATTTCTCCAGTATTCATGACATGTGTTTTATTTTTTACATACATGTAAGTACTGCAGGGTATTTTCAGGCAATCCATGTTTTTACAATCATGTTTTAATGTTTTAATCCAATTTTTCATTATTTTTTAGCCTATTTATTCATATGTACGACATGCAGTTTATTCAGTAGTTTAGTTCCATACATTCAACTTACGAAGTACGTGTTCTCTAAGGGGAAATAAAAGATATCAAGGTTATTGATGAAGACAGAGCGCTAATATTGCACTGTCCTTCACAGTTTGTAACATGCAGATAATTAAAACTGTTATTATTGCAAACAACACATTTGTACTTTAACTATAGACAAGTTAGCTACATTCTAAGCTGGAAATACAGTCAACACAAAAAAGAAATGGAAGGGACCTGATAGAAATACATGTATTAATTTTTTTTTTCAACACATGAATACCATTAGATAAGGAATGGGTATTGAAGAGAAGTCTGTTTGTGTTAATTATGATGTTCTAAGCTTGATTATAACCAACAGGTATTTCTATACACTGTATGTAATTGCAATATTGGTTATTTTTTATTTTCGTAGAAGTGCTAGTCATTTCTGCCAGTTTTGTGCATAACTATATCCATTATTGCTCTTGTGCTATTCTCTCTTTCTCTCTCTCAACAAACTGATATATTCATATTTCCTTTATTTTTATTCAGGGTTATATGACATCATTTTGATTTCATTAATGTGCCATTTTGAATGGTCCCTCCACCAGTGCTTATTTTGTATATTTTATTTTTTCTACTGTTCCACAATGAGTAAAACTGTTGATTTTTTGTGATTGAATTGTGGATGAAACAAATGTGATTGTTTAAAAAATCTGCATACATGTACACTGTGTATGTTACACATGTTAATTACATGTATTTGGGTGTACATGTACTTTTTGTATGTTGCACATGTTCAATATCTGTGTGTACATGTTAAGAATCGTGATTAAAGGTTGATTATAATACTTCAATATTGTTTTTAAGCCCAAGAGTTAAAAAAAAAATATTGATAACCAATGAGAGAGCCTGGAAAAGGAGTACACATATAAAGTATGATGCATGTATAATGGCAAACAGCTGCAGTCCCTAGGAAACAATTTCAATTGAGTGGATGGGGGAGAGTGTCATATATATATTTATGCCCCCCTTCGAAGAAGGGAAGGCATATTGCTTTGCTGCTGTCTGTCGGTCCACTTAGTTTCCTTTCATTTTCTTTGCAACCATAGCATATTCTGAAATGAAATTTGGTATACAGATTTATCAGATGAATATCTAGGCCAAGTTCTGTTTTGGGGATGATTGCACCATTTTTGACAGAGTTATGCCCTGTAGACTTAGAAAAATTCAAATTATTTGCAGTTTCCGTTCATTTTCTTGGCAACTGTTGCATATACTGAACTGAAATTTAGTGTACAGATTTAACAAATGAATACATGTATCTAGGTCAAGTTCTATTTTGGTTACAATTGCGCCATTTTTTGCCCTTTTGGACTTAGGCAAATTCAAATTTTGGGGAGGGGGGCATAAGTGTTTTACAAACATCTCTTGTTTAAGCTGGGGACACTGTCAACTACTAAAATTTCCTTGACAAGCAAAAAAAAATAATAAAGTCATCGGACGTTTTTATTGAAGGAGAACGAGCTTCATACTTAGTAGCCATGTTTTCTGAGGTACGTGTACTAAATATCAGCTTAGTCAAAGGTTTTTAGCTCACCTGAGCCGAAGGCTCAAGTGAGCTTTTCTGATCACATTTTGTCTGTTGTCAGTCCATCCGTCTGTAAACTTTTCACATTTTTGACTTCTTCTCAAGAACCAATGGGCCAATTTTAACCAAACTTGGTACAAAGCATCCTTGGAAGAAGGGGAATAAAAAAAGGTTTACAAGAAGGGCCAAGTCCCCTTACAAGGGGAGATAATCAAGAAAAGACAAAAATATGGTGGGGTCACTAAAAAATCTTTTTCTCAAGAACCACTGGGCCAGGAAAGCTGAAACTTAAGTGGAAGCATCCTAGGGTAGTGTAGATATTGAATTGTTAAAATCATGACCCCGGGGGGTAGGGCGGGGCCACAATAGGGAATCCAAGTTTTACATAAAATATATAGAACAAATCTTTAAAAAATCTTCTTCTCAAGAACCACTGAGCCTGGAAAGCTGAAACTTATGTGGAAGCATCCTAGGGTAGTGTAGATTTTAAATTGTTAAAATCATGACCCATGGGGGTAGGGCGGGACCACAATAGAGAATCCAAGTTTTACCTAGAAATATATAGAACAAATCTTTAAAAATCTTCTTCTCAAGAACCACTGGGCCAAGAAAGCTGAAACTTATGTGGAAGCATCCTTGGGTAGTGTGGATTTTAAAGTTTTAAAATCATAAAAAGGAAGGGGGTAGTGAGGTATGATATGTATAGCAAGAGGGGAAATCTCCCTTACCAAAGTAAAATTATTGCAGCAATATTGCTGCTACAGTAAAACTTGTTTAGTATGAACACGGATATAACGAATTCACGGAT